GGCCTTCCCACCGAGGTGGTACCTATTTATCTACTCGCGTTTTTGCATGCTTTCGTACCGCTAGGTTGGCAGGAGCTGGAACAAAGCGACAGGAGCTCCCTCCGTCACATGGATTCGATCTTATGACTGCTTGGTCTTCTGACCTTGCAGCACAGAGGCTTCTGCGGTTTAACCCGCAATACCACCACATCCCGTAAGTCCTAAAAGCTTAACAGTGTATAAATAAAATAAATAAATAAATAAGGCTATTCTGCATAACCCCTGAAGAGACAAAAATCTCCTGCTGTGACACTCAGAGGCTCAACTCAATGAAGAAATTCCCCCTTCCAATCACAGGCTGTCTTTAACATTGATATATTTTTTTTGCCTGAAATCAGTTTTAAAAAAAAAAAAGCACTGGTGAAAATGGACTCATGTTTGGCCCAAAATAAATAAATAAATAAGGCTATTCTGCATAACCCCTGAAGAGACAAAAATCTCCTGCTGTGACACTCAGAGGCTCAACTCAATGAAGAAATTCCCCCTTCCAATCACAGGCTGTCTTTAACATTGATATATTTTTTTTGCCTGAAATCAGTTTTAAAAAAAAAAAAGCACTGGTGAAAATGGACTCATGTTTGGCCCATTTGTGGCATTCTGAAGTCCAGGGTCTCACCAAACACTCACAAAACGATGGCCCCACTTGCTTAACTACTCCGATCTTTAGGCCTGAAGGGTTGGCTGATTCGAGCCAGATGAAACATTATGCAAAAGAGCTTGAGTTCCCAAAGCATAGGTAAAGGTAAAGGTTCCCCTTGACAATTTGTCCAGTCATGTCCAACTCTAGGGCGCGGTGCTCAGCTCCGTTTCCAACCCATAAAGCCAACATTTGTCTGAGGACAATCTTTTGTGGCCATGTGGCCAGCACGACTAGACATAGAATGTCATTACCTTCCCATTGTGGTGATGCCTATTTATCTACTTGCATTTTTGCATTTTTCATGCTTTTGAACTGCTAGGTTGGCGGGAGCTGGGACAAGTGACAGGGGCTCACTCCGTTGTGTGGATTCGACCTTACAACTGCAGGTCTTCTGACCTTGCAGCACAAAGGCTTCTGAGGTTTAACCCGTAGCGCCACCACGTCCCAGGCATACTGGAGGACAAAAAGCAAGATTTGGCTTTTTGATGCGCTCCCGGGGTGTGATGAAACATAGACACCCTGGGGGGCACTGTTGAGCTGCATCAAAATATAGAGCTCTGTCTGCATCTTCTTTTCCAACTTTCTCCAGAGGCTCCACAGATGTCAAAAAAAGCGTCCCTCCAAAAATGGCTGCCACACCTTAAAAATAAAATGTGTGTGAGTTCTAAAAGTGTCCGTGGCATAATCTTCAGGGCTTTTGCTATGATAATGAAGTCAAACACTTGCATCAGTAAACGAAATTCACAGATGGAGTTGGAAGGCAAATGGAGAGAGCAGGAGGGACTCCGTCAAATCAAAATTCAGCAACAAAGGTTAGCATAATATGTCCGTATTATGCTAACCTTTGAAATGTCTGCCCAAGCCTCTGCCAATTTTACAAATACAGCTAGAAGATGGTCTGTAATTGACTGTTACTTGAATATGAGTTGAAGGAGGTGAAACACCACATCACCGTCTCCTGGAATTGTCAAGTGAGAAGGGTCCCTAGAGGTCATCAAGCCTAACCCTTGGTTGAAGCAGGAAAGAACCTCTACTCACGGTTGAAGAAAACTCACATGCTGCCTTCCACGCTTGTAGGTTTGACTTGTAGGAGAAAGAACAAGGAAAGGGAGGAAGCGAATTCGAAGAGTGAGAGAGGAAAAGGAGATTCTGGGAAGAACCACCTGTACGGTCATGAGAAATGGCCAGAGAGAGAAAAACACACCGGGCATATTTCCATCCCAACCACCTCGGGTTCAGAGGCCTTATCACATGAACTGGCCATCTTTCCAATGAGGGATGTGAAATCCCACAGTATGTCAGAAATAAACGGGAGCCCTCTCTTTTCTCTTCCCAGCAAATTCTCTTTGGTGAGATTTTTTTCTCTCTCTCTAGAGAAACCATATGGGAATCCTTAGGAGATCAGTTGTTAGTCTTTTTTTTTCCTGGGGGGGGGGGGGACAAAATGCCAAACTCTGCAGGATTATTACAAGTCCTGCACAGGAAGTCCCCTTTGCTACACAGGATTCACTTAGGAAGGGCCAAAGAACCACCGACCTGCGCAGGACGATGACAAATCCAGTGCAGAATGCGATCTTTCAGGATTCACTACAGAAACACCCTGCGGCGAAGGATTCTGTAGTTTTCTGTACAGACAAAAATAAAGAGAGTTCAGTGACGTTGGTCTGAGTCTTCCTCGGGGACATGGTGGCTGGAGGTTCCAGTGACGGTTGTGACTTCCTTTGGGTCATCAGCTGTCGATCTCTCATTCCTTACAGCCACTGGGACCATCCCCCTCCCTTCACTCTTTTAACCCCCAAAACACCAAGCTCTAGTGATTTTTCGAGCTTCATGAAGCATACAGATGGTGACTGAGAGCTTCTGGAATTGCCTCCTAGCTGATCCAGAAGCACACAGCTGTCTGCCCCCCCATGCAACATCATTTCCACTTTTCCCTAGAAGTAAGCACAACTCACATCCAGACAGGGTCGAGCCGAGCAATGCATTTGCCCTCCCAGCTTCTTCCGATGTCAGTGCCGTGAATCCGTTCTGGGTTGTGGTCCGAACTTTGCAGAAGCCTCCCCAAGGTCTTGCTGAATGCTGACCCCAAATTAGATTCAGCACTTTGGAGAGCACCTTGTGAAGTTCTAACTAAAAGATGGAGGGGATTCACTGCTCCACTCATTCCAATGGCTGTAGCCCCCAAAAGCTAGATTCCCACCTTCTCATCATGCATTTGCTTCTAGCTTTGGGCTTTGCTTGTTTGATCTGGACCACGACCCGGCAGCTCGCTGGGCTTTTGGCCGGCCTCTCCTTGGCAGCATCGCACCTCAGCTGCAGCCCGCCCTAGCGCTAACTGCTTTTCAGCGGGGTCCACAGCTGGCAGGGGGGGCTAGCAAAAACCTGTCTGCCAACTCAGCTGGCTGCCTTCACTGCAGGGGAGACCCGGGGAGGGGGCGGAAGGTCTGTGGCCTTTTCCTCGTCTAATAGACCAACTCCCGAGCAACCTGCCGTGGGTGAACAAACAGAATCGCTCCTCAATGGGATTCCAGCTGTGCCGGCCAAGGGTTCAAATTACAGGGTTCAGGGCAGGGCGCTCAGCTTCTCATGACAGCCTGCTTAGTGACTCTGCAAAAGGCAATGAGCGAGGAAGGATCTGTGCACAATTGAGAGGGATTCGGCAGAACGCACCGCCGTGGAAGGAACAGCCTGCTTCCTGCTCCTAATTCAAGCAACTGTTCACCGGGAAAAAACCCATGCTGGGGTTTTGGCCACTGCTTCAAACAGCCAGAGAGACCAGAAGAGAGGAGGGAGGCAGGGAGGGGGGAGACCCCTGGGCTGAGCATCACAAGCCGGTCTCCCTAGGAAGGGAGTCTCGCTATCAGAAACTGGAAGGGCAGGATTACATGCTGGGAAACGCTCTCCTCTCTCTGAGAGGGTATTGTTATAGCTTACAAATGTTCTATGGATTCCAGAATCCCATCAGGGACTGGAGGATTGTGTGTGTGTGTGTGTGTGTTGTGTGTGTGTGTGTGTTTAAGTAACTTTCCCACACCTGGGTAGAACACCCACCATGGAGAAGGAAGAATCTCCAAAGGATGTGCACACTCTGGAAGTTGGTGAGCAGTTTTCTTCATCCTCAATGTCGCTCTTGAAATGCAGATTTGAGAGACAACTGCATTTAAAAAAAAAACATAGGAGAGGGGTGGGAAGCATGAACGATACACCTGAAGCCTTGAGGAATGCAATTTAAGGATAGAATGGAAGTTATCATCGAGCTGGTATTAATTCTTGGCAGCTATTATTTTCAAAATCCAGCAATATCCATCAGAGAAGATGGAGACACATTCAAATCAGCGTAATATAAATGCAAATGCCAGTTAAGTGGACTTTTGCATTGCCATTTATTTGAGGAAAGGGACGTGGTGGCGCTGCAGGTTAAACCGCAGAAGCCTCTGTGCTGCAGAGTCAGAAGACCAGCCGTCGTAAGATCAAATCCACGCGACGGAGGGAGCTCCCATCACTTGTCCCAGCTCCTGCCAACCTAGCAGTTCGAAAGCATGTAAAAATGCAAGTAGATAAATAGGTACCACCACGGTGGGAAGGGCATGGCGTTCCGTGTCTAGTTGCGCTGGCCACATGACCACGGAAACTGTCTACAGACAAATGCTGGCTCTACGGCTTGGAAATGTGGATGAGCACCGCACCCTCGAGTCGGACACAACTGGACTCAATGTCAAGGGGGACCTTTACCATATTTGAGGAAAGGGGCTCTTTGGGTCACCTTCTCTCTCTCTCTCTCTCTCTCTCCTTTTTGCATTTGACTGAAAAGTGGACTGGCAGGTGTGGACAGCTAGGAAGGGAAGAAAAGGGAAGAGCACAGCCCTGCTAGCATCTCTGTGTTGAACTAAATGGCTAGGAAAGGCATCCGGGGCCATTCCCCAGTCTCTCATGCTCTTCTTTGCGACCAGCCACTGTGCAGAACTGATGAAAATTCAGGTCTGGTGAAGCTGGCCCTCCCTCCCCCTCCAGCAAGCAATAGGGCTCTTGAACTTTTCTGCCATGCTCTGTGCTGCTGATTATTCCATCTTCTATTGTTCCTGAACAAACGCCGGTCCTACGCTTGAACCAAACAGAGGCGGAAAGGTCTGTGGTGTTGGGGAGGGCGAGTGGGAGGGGGAGAGGGAGGGTCTGCTGGCAAAGCCACTGGTCCCTTTGGAAAGCTGGGCTGCTTCTGTCCCTTTAAGAATGCTCCAGCTGTTCCCTGGGAGGCAGAGAGAAGCAGCGTTTAGGAAAAGAGGCACAGAGAGAGACAGAGAGCTACTAGAGACTGGAAGGAGAAAGAAGCCAGCTGCAGGGCTCCTGAAAATATCCTGGCCTTTTTCAGCTCCAAAGCACGCCAAGCCAGGAAGGACTGTGGACACCTCAGAGGTTGACTCCTCTTGACCCGGCAGGAGGCACCTGTTCTCCTCTTTTCATCTTCAGCATCTTTCAGAGCCGCTGTCCTTTCCTTGAAGAAGTTTGTAAAGAAGCAAGGAGGGGAGGACCTTCTTGCAAGAGACTCGGTCTGGAAGTTAGCAAGGGATGAAGAGCTTCACAATCCCGGCTGGTCCTTCTTGAAAAAAGAAAAACACCTTCCTGGATCTCCAGCAGTCAAGGCGGCTGGCAGCGATGTTTCCCGGTCAGGAACAAGGCTGGATACCAGAAAGTATTTGGGAATCCTTAAGCGTTTGGGATTGAAGGCAGAGGGGCTGTGAAATCATCTTTTTTTTCCCCCTGAACCTTTGGAAGAGTGGGGAATAGGGCCCCGGAATATAACCCCATGATGAAGGGGATCTGGTATATTTTCACCCTGATCCTGACAGGTGAGTGGAAAGCGAGAGCCAGACTTCCTTGGGAGGGATTGTTTCCAGCCATAGATGTCTGGTGCCTCCGTGTGATGGGTGTACGGTTTGTGCTTCGTTGATGCATGCTCGGCTGTGGGTCAGGTTCCCAGATTTTCCAACAGGCAACTTCCTTTTGCGTTTGCCTGGCATAGATCCCGCTGACAAGGGGTGGACCCAGCAGGAAACCTTGTAAGTTTGAACTCTGTTTGGCAGGTCTGAGGTCTGGAAGAGTGGCTTGGCAAGGAGCTATTTGTAAGAGGGTCGTCTTTAATTCTGAATTCATAAAACTCTCCTCGCTTTCTGCTGCTGCTTCTGGATGAACTGAATTCCCCCCCCCCCCACTATCCGGTGAATCCTGGCTGGAAGTTTGGGTTCAAAGACACTCTCTCTTCACTGTTCAGTCACCCCAATTGTATAGGGAGGTGTTTTTTAAAGGTACTGAGTGGTAGTGAATCAGTGTCAAGTGGTCTTAAGGATTTACCCCCGAGCTATTCCCTCTTTGGGTGAGAGACGTCATACCTGGGTTTGGGGAGAAAGGTCTTTTTTCATATCAACACGAGAAGCCTATGATCCACCATGAAGTTGGCGTGCTGGTCTCCCCAAGCTTGACGCATTTCCTGGCAGCAGATAATTGCTATTCGAAAGCAAAGAGCAATGGTCTGGTTGTGTGTTTGCCCTGTTTTTCCCAGGGGTGAGTGGGTCACACCATTGGACTGGATGGTGGCATCTCAGATACTAAAAATGCACACGGGGGGAGACAGATGCTCTCCAAATCAGTTCTTCTCTGTATTGAATGCTGCCCGGCGTTTCCTTGGAAGTCAATCCCCTCCAGTTTCGACCCAGCTGGCTCCCAAGTTTGCTGGCTTCAGATCATCACAACCCTTAGCCTGTGTTCCTAGACAAGTTGTCCAGTGTCTTGCCGAGGACTTTTGAACGGGTGCAAGCAAGAATGGACACACTGTCTCTCGTCCTCCCTTCCTCCTCACCACTGCACAAAGATGGTCAGGCTTGCTAGAAGTTCCAGGGAAAGAATGTGTTCTAGTGACTTAATTGCACATAATTACTTATGTCGTTGACTGAAGTCAGGGCTGGGGTTGCTTTGAAACAGATGCTCTGTCCCCCTCCGCCTCTGAACTCATTCGGATTGCTTGTGCCGAACTCTGCGCGCCGCTTGCCCTTATCGCTCCCCTTCGTTGCCACGCAGAGGGACTTCACGTAGGGAAATACAAACCACCTTAGCCGGTGGGGTGGGTTGGCTTGTTCGTAGCCCATTCCGGTTCCCCTAACGGGGTGCCCCCTGATGCAGTCGAGTGTGGCATGAGGCTTTTTGGAAAGGACTTGTGCGCTGGTGTGCATGCAGGTGCGCCATGCAGTGTTGTCTCCACAGTTGTGTTGAGATGCGGTGAACGGTCTGGGAGCATCAGCAGTGGCGGAAGCTGAAGAGGAGGGTGGAGGGCTCTGACCTCCCCACCACTGTCAGCCCCATAACCTATTGTGAGTTTTAAACCCCATTAAATATTACACTTCCAGGCTGGAGGAAGCGCAGTGGATGCTGTGAGTAGCCCGACACACACCTACATTTGCCAGCAAGATTGCCATTTGGGCTGGTAGCCGGCCGGGCAAGGGACCAGGCGGACTTCATGAAGATGCAAGGGCTATAAGGGTTCTATAAGAGAAAAAAATGGGAATACGGCTGGAATCCAAAAGAAGCAGGGGTTGTTTTTCTCTGAGATTCCACAGAGCCTGATGCTCTACCATCTCACTGTAATATACTGTCTTTTTCATTTTAAAAAATAATAATTATCCACATTTCCATTCTGAGCTTCTCACACAGAGAGCGAGTCCTCTGGGGGAGGCATGCGTGGGGTTCCCCCTGCTTTGGCTCTGTGACAGCCCTGGGTGAATCTGGAGGAAAATCATTTGCCCAAGGCGACTCAGGGAGTTTCGCCGCCAGTGCAGGATCTGAACTCGGGTCTCACCAAACCCAAGACCGTTATTCACTACATCAGGTTGGAGGTTTTCTCACGTAGATCCACAGGAACTGAGGCACATTTTTCCGGCATGCAAACTAAGGGCCTTGGAAGTCCCCTCAAGGTGGTGCCTTCCAGATGCGGGGCCCATGGCTGGGGCTGGTTGTGGATCATGGGAGTTGTAGTGCAATGTTTTGGGTTGGAGTCGTGGAGTGGTGAGGCTTCAGCCCTCCAAATAGCCTCGTTGGTGGGCTGAAGGACCACTTCACATTATGTAGCCCATCAGTTGCATCCCGTCACCGTTTTGGATCATGTCCACGGACATCAGCAAAGGGAAGGCCTGGGTGAAGTGTGTATCCGGACCCCGGGATCCGTCAGTGTGAAGGATCAAAATCTGCAGGGAGATGCCGTTTTTCTGCTCCGGGAAGCTCTCCGCCCTGGTGATTGTGCAGTGAAGTGAGATATAAGGTCTCCCAATTCCCCACCCCAGAAAAATGAAATCAGAAATGGCCTTCCAGCAACTTCTGGTTTTGAAGGTTCCGACTTATTGCTCCATTTCAGGACCTCGGTGGGGGGGGCAGACACTCTGGGGGCATCAAAGTGCCCTCAGGTCCATCTCCTAAGAAAGCAGAAACCCCAAGATTGTTTCTGTGGGCATCTCCTCAGGTTCAGCCAGATGCCTCCTCTGTGCCCACGTCGGAGTTTCATCCCTGAGGCCAGGGAGTACGTCATGCCAGGGGCAAGACTCAGGAGCTTGGAAAGGTTATGGGTTCAGGATACCGTTCCCAGATGCCCACTCAGACCGTGCCATCAGCGTTGCCGCAGGCCATGCCGTCTGGAAATTTGGGGAGCGGAAGTTGGGAAAAGGTGATTTCCTCGAACTCTGGCAAAATGACAAGGTCCAGCCCCTCTCCTCGGGCTTACGTTCATGTCACCCAACTCTGAATGCCTGAAATAAGACGAACGGCATCAAGACACACAAGGTTGCTGGAACATGAAGGGGGAACATGAGCTGTAGTCATGGGGGGGGGGTTGTCTCCTTGGTAACATATCATTGTTGTCTACAATGATCCACCATAAGAACTGCTGGATAGCTCAGCGGTGTAGGCGTCTGGCTGTGGAGCCAGAGGTCGGCAGTTCGATTCCCCCACTGGGTCTCCTTGACAGGGGGCTGGTTCCCCAAGGTCCTTTCCACACCTCTGCAGTTCTAGATTGTTGTTGCTGTTAAATATGCTAAAAGAGGGACAGGCATGGCTGCCGGGCATTCTGGTTAAGAGAATCGTGCAGTGATAGTCTGCAAAAGTAACTTTTCAAAACTCTGGCTCTATAACAGATAAGCGTGTGTGTGTGTGTGTGTCTGTGTGTGTGTCTGTGTCTGTGTAAAATGCCAGCACTGGCATATATGGATATATATAAGGCAGAGGATAAATGGTGATATGGCAGGGCTCTCTGTTCTGGCACTCACTATGAATTTCTAGATTCAAAATTCTCTCGTTCTACGTATGTCAATGTCTTTTGCAGTTTGCGTAGGTTGGTAGACACACACACACACACACACACACACACACACACACACACCCCTCCAGCTCTGAAATGTACCCCAGGTTGCGACCCCAACGCTCCTTCTCTGCTTTTCCTGTATTGCCTTTTGTGGGTTCCCCTGATACCAGAGCATCATCTAACTGTGAGGCCATTAAAAACAAACACTAGCGTTCATCTTCCTGTATCATCAAGAAGGAGGAAGCCTGAGATGGGCTGCATTTGTTTATTTCTTCGCTTCTTTAGGGTGTTGTTTTCAAAGAAGAAGGACATACAGTTGACTCTGTTGCCGCTTTCCATTCTGCACGGGCTGAAAAGAGAGCCCCCCCCCTCCGACAGGCGAGTGAAGCTTTCTAATCACGGTGGCACATGGCACGCAGAGGCCAGTGCTGGCATTTTTCCTGACAGCTGGTTTTTTCTCCACTTGGGGCTCCTGCAGTACCTGCTGGGCGATGCTTTTGCAAACGTTATAATCTTCCTTTGTCGAGTTGCTCCTTCCCCCAAAGTGGGAACACGAAGGTGACAGACAAAACAGAAGGCAGACAAAGGATCCAAGAACTAAGGAGAGCCCTACGGGAGAGATTTCTTGACGGCTGCCTTTCAGTTTGTACTAACCAGATAAGGACCTGCTGAACTTTACTACAACACAGAAGGAACTTGCAGGCACATAATCTCCTTTCTTCCCCCCACCTCAAAAAATGGGGGACTGTTTTGTAAAGCGAAAAGCAGGCACAGAAATACAAGAGAAGTATGCATGGCTTGCGAGAAGAGACACAAAATTTATTTTCTCTTCCCTTTTCTGTGTGTGCATGCGTGTGTGTGTATGGGTCCAGAAACTTATTACATTAAGAAAAATGCTTGTGAAACTGCATTTTATTCTAAGCAGAGTATATACAAAAATGCATTTATTACGAAAGTGCAAGTGCAAGAAGGCATATGCATTTTCATGCAGACTGTTTTTTGTGGATTCTCCGGCTTGCTTATTCATTTAAAAAACTGAGGTGAGCTCCAGCCAAAACCTAGATTGATAGCCCCACCAAATTCCAGTCTGGAAAAATCACAGATCTAGGTTGTGCTACAGGTATTTTTATTTTATTATTTATGAGCTGCACTGGTATTCTTACAAAAAAGCCCAGAGCAACATATGTGGTCCTTCTTCCAATTTGCATCTGCACAACAACCCTAAGAGGTAGCTTATGCTGAGGCTGGGGGGGGGGAATTGACTGGTTTAATTCCTCCAATGAGCTTCAGGTCCCAGTCGGAATTTGAACTCGAAATTTCCCAGTCCAAGTCTGACTCTCTAACCAGTTGACTGGTTTAATTCCTCCAACAAGCTTCAGGTCCCAGTCAGAATTTGAACTCAAAATTTCCCAGTCCGAGTCTGACTCTAACTGGACAGTCTCTGTAGCTAGAATCCTCTTGGGCACTTAAGCAAATGGCGTAATCTTTGGAAGGCTATGAGTTAAGAAA